AAAACACTGAAAGACAAGTTAGTTCGCTACTTAGTTTAGTGTTTTTGTTTTACTTTTAAATTGGATTCAATCTACTGTATGACACTTCGACCTGAATACTGAGGTTTTCATACAGTTGCTGTTGGAAGGCTCATCCCAGGTACGACAATTTTATTTTCAAGCTTTAATGGATCCATCAGAACTGTTCTTTTTCCAAAGCTGAATGATTATATAACATCTTCAATGATTTTTAAAAAATAATTTGGCTGCAGAAGTTGGCGTCAATCCACACAGGGTCAAATTTAATAAACAATACAAATGCAGAAAAATGTGCTTGTACAGTTTTATTTGAAAAAAGAGCAAGCGGTATGCCGATGTGTCCCGTCACTGAAGGGTTTGAATAGTGAATGTTTGTAGTTTTCCAGATGAGCACTTTCCTGGACTGGAATAAGTAAACCTGAATGTTTTTGGTGAAAGATATTCAAGTGGGGATGAGTTACACTGTGGAGAAGAACAGAGGGAGGTGTTTTGTTTTACTTTTCATAGATGGAGCAGAGTGACAGATCCTGGAGTGGAGGGAGCCATTTTAACCATGACCAGGTGTAATGGTGGAGCCAGAGGGTGGCCAATGGTGGCCGTGTCCACCATAGATTAAACTTTGGACAACCCAAGTTTCACCACAACCACTTAAGGAAACTATACTTTTATGCAATATAAAAACTAGAAAGCGTAGTTTTGTGTGTATGTGATGGCGGATTTTGATGTGAAAACCCAGTTTTCAGTAGTGGCCTTGATGCAGCCACACACCATAACGGAAGATGGCATGTTGCTTGTTTTTGAAGTTATCCAGCTCACAATGTTAACATACATATATGGTGGCAGCCATCTTGTATTTTGAGGTGGCAACCCAATATTCCAAAGGAAACTTTCTTACGTCTAGATGTATCCACATGCCAAAGTGGAAGTCAGCACCTCACTTATTTTTTAAGTTATCATGTTCACAACATGGACGGAGGCACCGACAGACAGAGGGTATAAAAAACCCAATAACAAAAAACAAACCCCCACAAATGTTACTGACATAATGCAAAACTGACAAAGTAGCAATTCCCTCAAAAATATTAAAATCAGCTAGTGAAAAAAAGGTGTGAATAAGAGGGAGGCCGGTGGAACAGTGAGGCTACAAGGAGCAGAGGTCACAAAGGTGCAGGACTTTAAGGACTTGGGGTCCACTGTCCAGGAAAATGGGGAATGCGGTAAAGAAGTGAAAAAGAAAGTCCAAGCAGGATGGAGTGGATGGAGAAAAGTTTCAGGAGTGATTTGTGACAAAAAGGTGTCAGCAAAGGTCAAAGGAAAAGTTTACAAGACAGTGGTGAGACCAGCTATGTTGTATGGTCTGGAGACAGAGACATGGACAATAAGACAGGAGAAAGAACTGGAAGTGTCAGAAATGAAGATGATGAGGTTCTCCTTAGGAGACCGTCCACCCATCCATCCATTATCTTTACCCGCTTATTCCATTTCGGGTCATGGGGGTCGCTGGTGCCCATGTCCAGCAATCACTGTGTGAGGGGCGGGGTACACCCTGGACGGGTCGCAGGTCCATCACAGGGCCACATAGAGACAAACGAGACAAACAACCATTCACTCTCTCACTCACACCTAGGGACAATTTAGAGTTACCAATCAGCCTAACATGCATGTTTTTGGTCTGTGGGAAGAAACCGGAGTACCCGGAGAAAACCCACGCATGCACGGAGAGAACATGCAAACTCCACCCAGAAAGGCCCCTGGACCGGGATTTGAACCAGGGACCTGCTCGCTGAGAGGCAGCAGCTCTACCAGTTGTGCCACCGTGCTGCCCCTCCTTAGGAGTGACAAGGATGAATAAGATTAGGAATGAGATCATCAGAGGTACAGCACAGGTGGAACAACTGGGAGATAAAGTTAAAGAGGCCAGACTGAGATGGTTTGGACATGTCCAGAGGAGGGACAGTGGGTATACTGGTAGAAGGATGTTAGAAATGCAGCTGCCAGGAAAAAGACAAAGAGGAGATATATGGATGCAGTTAGAGAGGACATGGAGGTAGTTGGAGTGAGGACAGAGGATGCAGAGGACAGAGTGAGATGGAGGAGGATGACTCGCTGTGGAGACCCCTGAAGAGGGAAAAGCCGAAAGAAGAAGAAGAAGCTAGTGAAAAACAGATATTGCTTTTGAACTGTAGTTCAACAGAATTGTTTTTAAAAACCCTAGAAAAGATTAAAACCAGTTTGACCACAGGGACTTGTTCAACTCAGGTGTGTCCTGTAATCAGCATCTCAGGTGTTTTCAGTCTGTAATCAGCCAGTCTGCCTGTTTAAAGGGTGGCAGGTAGTCACAGGGCTGTTTGGCATCACGGTGTGTAACACACTGAACATGGAGCACAGGAAGATGAGGACAGAGTTGTCTCGTGGGCTTAGAGAGACAATGATTGACATAATGTTAAAGGTAAAGACTATAAGACTATCTCCAAGCAACTCGATGTTCCTTTGACTACAGATCATTCAGAGGTTTAAGGTCCACAGGACTGGAGACACCTCCCTGGACGTGTCTTCAAGAGGACAACCGATGACCAACTGAAGACATGGACAATATGAATGATAATCAAAAATTACCAGGACAACTTCTAAAGAGGTTAGAAATGAACCTCAAGGTCAAAGGTCATCAGGGTTAAGATCACACTTTCAGTGGTTGTTTGAGCTAAAGTGGACATAGACGACCGAGGAGGACACCAAATAATTAAAGGACATACTGGAATTTGTCAAAATGTCTGCTGAGGAGCCACAAATCTTCGTTGGACAGATCAACTCTGTGTTCACAGACCCAACAGAACCCAGTACCTAGACTGGAACACGGAGGAAGCTCGGTTCTGTTTGCTTTGCTGCATCTGGGTCAGGGTGTCTTTAATCTGTGCAGGGTCCAATGAAATCTCAAGACTATCAAGGCATTCTGGAGCAAAATGTTCTGCCCGGTGTCTGAAAGCTCGGTCTGACTCAGCTCATGGGTCCTCCAACAGAATAATGAGCAAAAACACCAGGAACAGATCAGAACCAAACACTGGACTGTTCTGAAGTGTTCTTCTGAGCCCTGATCTACTGTACTTTCTGTCATTGTGGTCAAACAGCTCAATCTTCGTCTTTCCTGACCATAAACTTTGCTCCAGAAGGCATTTGGCTCGTCCACGAGGGGCAGCTTTAAACTCCAGTCAAGCTTGAAGGTGTCACTTTTCAGAGCCGAGGCTCCTTTCTTGGCCAGCAGCACCCCGTCAGTCCGTGAAGGAGATGTCAAACTTTCTTCACCTTGGACGGTGCGTTCCAGCAGGCTTGAGCCTCCATGACATCCTAACAAAGTTCCTGGCTGTCAAACAAACGGCCTGCTGCAGTCATTCGTGATCACAGACAAGACGTTAACACGACTTAATAAAATATTGATGCGACTGCATATCTGGATTAGAGAAAATAAATAAATTTAAACTCGTGCAAGTTTTTCAAACTCACTGAAGCGGTGTTGCATATAATTATTCACCCCTGAGGAATAGTTCAAACTATAAAAGCTTAAAATAAATATAACATGATGAGTGGATGGAAGCTTAAAACTAACATTGAATATCTATAATTTCCTCTCTTTAATTAGAAAGAATCTGATAGCACCCAACTGTTGCAACTAAAAGTCAAAAGATGTGAGTTTCATAAAAACCTATTGCATCAGTGGTCAGCTCCTCCACTCTGTGTGCAATCTAACACTGACACCTACAGGTTGCAGTGAGTACTGCACCAAAACAAACTGCTGCTGCATGAAATCTTCCACAGAAAGATGGGAGATGATCAGCGACACGTGGGGATTGGTTTCATCCTCGAGCCTTGTATTTTAAACTCAACACTCAAGGTGCAGTGTCAGTTTGTGTGCGTGTGTATCGAATCCAGACATTGAAAACTAAGCTGCATTTTTTAACGTTGGAGCAGAATATAAACTGTAATTGAACAAGGAATGCAAGTTGGCGCAAGATAATCAGGTGGGTAGGAGTTGCACTGTGGAGAAGAACAGAGGTGTTTTTTTGGTCAGAGGTAGCACAGACAGATCCTGGCGAGTGGAGGAAGCCATTTTATCCACCACCAGGTGCAATGGAGGAGCCAGAGGGTGGCCAATGGTGGACTTGACCACCATACATTCTTCATCGGCCACCCCAATCATCTGAGGAAACTATACTTTTAAAGTGATATAAAAACTAGAAAGCATAGTTTTCTCAAATGATCAGGGTGGCAAGTTGACATACACATAGAGATCACCTTTGATTTGATGGGGCAACCCAGTTTTTGAACCTAAACCCCAGGTCCTAGCTGTAACCAAACACCAAAAAATACAAGTCAATACCTCACTTATTTTTCAAGTTATCATGCTCACAACATTCACAGATGGATGAAGGGTATTTCCAATTCCATCTTTTTACTCTGTGACGGGGGGCAGATAGCAGCAGCAGCTAGCTGTAGCACTTCCAGCAGAAATATTGCAATTAGTGTGGTCAGTTTACATACATACATGGCAGTGGCCACCTTGGATTTTGATGTGGCGACCCAGTTTTCAAAAGAAACTTTTCTTCTGCATAGGTGTAGCCACACACCAAAATGGTAGCCGATACCTCACTTGCTTCTCAAGTTATCATGCTCACAACAATCACAGACAGACGGACGGATGGACAGACGGACGGATGGACAGACGGACGGATGGACGAAGGGTATTTCCAGTTCCCCCTCTTCACTCAGTGACGATGGACAGAAAGGTTGGACTGTCAATGAAAAGTACAATGAACTAAATTCATAACCTCATGAATTTGATGGTACAGATCACAGTAAACAGCAATGAATGGGCACAAGGATTTAAAGAAAGATAAAAAAAAAAACCAACAACACACGCTTGATGATGATAGACGACGATGCAGGGAACGTTAACACCGACGGAGTGACACAAATCGCCGTGCTCTTACCAGAGTGGAAACTGCCGAGGTGTACATTGGAGTGTGTCCTGTAGACATCAACACAGGCTGCAAAACAACAGAAGGGATGATTGTGTGTGGCATAAAGACGAGCTAAAGGGAACGGCAAAGCGTGCCGCTTTAGTTACACTTCAGCTACCAAATATGTCCAGAGCATTCATAAAGACAAAAGCAGTATTCAGGTGTAAATGTCCTCCTCTGCACAGTGGAAGCAGTTGCTCTAAATTCACCCCATGCTTAATTTTACACAACAGCACTGCAGTGTTTTCATACTTTCCTCCCACTGGAAAAGTTTTATTTAGGTACAAAGGCGAGTCGCTGAAAGTCTGGCTGTTTAGGGAGCTGCGTTCCAGTTCAGCACCTGTTTTGATGCTGGTGTTTACAGGAACTAGCTCTACACCTCTCAACACATAGACTTCGGCCTTTTAGTAAAGTCTTTGTTGGGGAAAAGTCGAGCCCAATCAGGTGGAGTTGTAGTAAAAAGAACAAATTAGATCAGAGGTGGGCAACTTTTTTTTCCAAAGGGCCACATCAAGACATTAAAGCAATCGAAGGTTTGCATAAAGAATTGGAAAATATATGTTCTTTATGACAGATAATCTAGAATACATTTTTTAGGCTTTTTCTTATTGTAGCATAGTTAGCATGCTTTATAAAACATGTCTTTCCCATATATTTTAGGATTGTAAGACATAGTCTGTAAACTGGGTCTTGTGACAATATTCAAGGTTTTTATTATGTTCTTTATTTATTATTAGATTCTTTAGTTATCCTTTATTTCTATTATATGTTATACATGGAGCAGCATGGTGGCGCAACTGGTAGAGCTGCTGCCTTTCAGCAAGCAGGTCCCCGGTTCAAACCCCAGTCCGGAGGCCCTTCTGGGTGGAGTTTGCGTGTTCTCTCTGTGCATGTGTGTGTTTTGTGTAATGTCATGTCATGTCACCATAGTCAGTGGCTGGTAGGAAGGTAGCAGCTACAAGATGTTTCTGGCATTCAGCGTTAAGCTAGATCTATTTCTGAAAAAGAAACCCAGTTTTAATTTCAGTTTCTTTCTCAAGTTTTCAATATGTGGTTTAAAAGAGAGATGTGCATCAACTAAAATGCCAAAGTATTTGTAAGAATCCACAAACTCAATAGGAATATGATGCATGGATAAGATAGGAGGTAGAACTGCTGGCACTATTTTTCTGTTTGAAAACAACATCCTTTGGTTTTATCAGCATTTAGCACCAGTTTGAGATGTAATAAGTCTGACTGAATGATGTCAAATGCAGGCTGTAGAAGCTGGAAAACGTTGACAATTGTGTTAAATCGACAATAAACAACTGTATCATCGGCATGGAGATGCAAAGAGGTGTCAGGAAGGTTTTGATATACATTACTTATATAAATTGTAAAAAGAGTGCATCCTAAAACGTAGCCTTGTGGAATACCATGAGTGACTGTTAGGTAGCCTCCCTCTCAAAACAGATCTGTGACCTCAATGGGATTTTCCTGGTTAAGTAAATGTTAAAATAATAATAATAATAATAATAATAATAATAATGATAATAATAATAATAATAATAATAATAAATCTGAAAATGTAAGGAATGCAGCACAACTGCAAACCTGCCGAGACTTAGCCATCCGCCTGAAGTGACAGGAAATAATTGATCTGTGATGGAGGCAAAAAGGCCGTGGTAAAAACAAATTAAAAACCTTGTTTGATTTTTTCTTTCATTTCACAATAATGTGCTTCTTTGTGTTTATCTGTCCCCTACAGAATGTGGAAAAGTTCGAGGGGCCTGAGCGATGTTTCAAGAAACTGCAGCTTTCAGGATGTCAGAGGTCACACAATGATGAAGCATTTCTTTTTTCAAGACCAGTGGAAATTCTTCACTAACGGTTTTCATCTGGCGAAGACGTACGACGTGAAAGTTCAGACTGTTTGAAATTAAATAACTGGTTGAAATTTTCCAGACACAAATCTGAGGCAGGTATTCAAGCCCATTAGTCTGTGAACATGGACACAAACAGACACAAAAAACAAATTCAAAGCCATTTCACTGCATAAAAGAACAAAACAAAATGACAAAATCAAAGTTTACAGTTTAAAAAATGCAGAGACTGTCAAACTATTTCAACAGAAAGGTGCTGCAAAACTGTTTTAGTCAGGAAACACAAAAGAAGTGAAAAAATACACACTATGTACCTGCTGCCATGAGTAGCAGACTGTGTTAACAAAATATCTCATCAAACACCAGACAGATGTGAATAAAACCCTCACTGTCACAATGAGGGCTGGTGCTGGTGAACCCAATGGCACAGGCAGGCAGGCAAGAACTCAAGATAATATGAAATAAGGAATTTATTTTACAAAACAAAAGAGCTGACGGGGCAACAAACACATAAACCAGGAGATGAACACGAGGAGCAGATTAGGCATCACAAGGAACAGGACATCACCAGTGGACAGATAAAAATGCCAGGACAAGGACTAACACAGAGACACATACGTATATACAGGAAACACCAATTAGACCAAGTGATGACATCTGTGAGTAATCACAGATGCCAGAGACAGAGACTGAGGATGCAAGACATGAACACGACACAAGATGGGGCTAGATACTAAAGAAACACAAGCCCTATAAAGAGAAACAGAGGATTAGGGGGAACACAGACAAAGCACGACACCAGGGACAAAACCACAACTTCTACACTCACAAGGTAATTTACAACTTATTTATTTGTGAGTAAAACCAATTTAAGATGGCTGCCACAGCTAACTGACATTAGTAAATACAAAACAAAGCTCCATCTCAGTAGATTTCCCAAATATGAGCTTTATTTTGGGAACATCGGTCAGTCAGTTCATCAGGGTGGTTTCTTTTTTTTGCTGAGATGTTTTGTCCTTCATCCAAAGGACTTAGTCAATCTGAGGAGCCACCAGACTGAAGAAGTCCTTTGAATTAAGGATGAAACGTCTCAGGTAAAAAACAAACCGTCCAGATGACCTGACTGAACATTGTTGGATTTTGACCTGGATTCTTGAGCATGAACTTTGGTGTTTATTTTGGGAAACACATTTTACAGGATATTTGATTAAATCATTGGCATGTAAGACGGTGGGTGATATGCATCACAAAATAAAATTCTAGATTTTATTTTAAATTTCGGCTTGCTCTGATTTTTGGAGACACGTTTTGTTAATCCTGAAATCTTCCAATTAGCGGAGGATTACTGTATTTGACTTTTTCAACTTATTGTTCAAGATGTTGCACACGTGTCAAAAGATATGTGAATAAATTATTTGTTTGTTTTTAACAGATCCATACAGAGCCATCAGGACCAGTGGATACACGAACTGAAGAAAACATTAAAAAAAAAAAAAAAACAGATTTTTCCTGTTTCTGAATGGTGGCCGCCCTTTGTTTCATCAAACGTGAACATCTCATGACACGGTTCTCGCAGAAACGTATTTGAGCGTTTAAGGCAAACAGATAGTTTGTGTTTGATTTCCACTGACAGAAAGCGTTTTTAAAAGCAGAGCTTTAAAGCAGAGAGGCAGACCTGTTAACGCTGGATAAGATCTTTTGTTGAAGATATTTTGAAGAAGTAAATGTGAACGTTTAATTTAAGTACTATTAAAGACTGATAAATACCACGAGCATCTGGGGCCTGATTTAACAAGGTGAGTAATGGATCTGCAGAGACTGGAAGGCACAACTCATATTTTATTTTCTGTCTCGAGCAGACCTGATTAACCACATAATGGCAGGTTTTAGAGAAAAGAGTAAGTCTCCTGACCCATCACGTTAATTAATGATGCACCTGTCAGCTCTGAGCAATGGGGACCGTCCTCATTCCTGAAACAACCACAAGAATCATTTATTCATACTGGGACTTATGACTTTTAATTCTAAAACAACAATTATTACAGACTGTGAAGGTCAGCAGAGCACCTAGACACCCGCAAAATTTATTAAAGCAATAGTTCATGACTTTTGAAGTGAAGTTCTTTGGGAAAGGTTCAGGTAACACCTTGAAGAGTCTATCGAAAAACAGGCAAGACGCCAAATGTTCATAACTTTTTCACAAAATGTTGGATAAAAATATCCTCGCATTATCTTACTTACTCAAAGGAGCCACATACGATGGCAGGAGAAGATTTTTAAACTGAGTTTTACTTGCAAGTGCAGATGGTTGCAACAGGCTTACACAGATGTACAAACCAGTCATCTGCATCGGACAGTGTGCAGGAAGTGTTTTTATAATACACGCTTATCAGCTCCTCCGAGCTTGCAGACTCTGAGGCGACTTTTGAGTACCAGCTGCACATGCAGCATCAAATCAGCTCATCGTGTAGCTCTCTCTGCTAACTCAAACACACGGTTTGTGGGCAGTTAACATTCTCAGCCATAGTAGCTTAAAAAAAAAACATCCATAAACCTTGACCAAGATTCCCCCCACACAGAACCCCATTTTAAGCAAACGGTGTGCCGATGTCCGCCATCGCTGACGGATATGAATAATGAATGCTTGTAGTTTTTGAGATTAATATTTATCTGGACTGGAATTTGTCTGAAGCAGAGTGATGGATCCTGATGAGTGGAGAGAGCAATTTTATCAACCATCAGGCCCAATGACGGAGTCAAGGGGTGACAAATGGTGGCCTTGACCACCATAGATTAATCTTTGTCCACCCCAATCATTTGAGGAAACTATAATTTTAAGTACCATATTTTCTGGTGTATAAGTCACAGTTTTTTGCATAGATTTGTCAGTCCTGAGACTTATACGCCGAAGCGACTTATATGTTTTTATTTCCATATTCATTTTTTTTCATATTCATGCAATTTTTGACTAACACTTTAAATTTTGAAGAACTGCAATCGCGAATCCTCCCGTGCGCGCTCGCTTCACTCAGCTGGTGCAGGCAAAGGAGCTAGTGGCTCCGACCGCGATGGATGGATGGATGAATGGATGGATGGATGGATGGATGAATGGATGGCATTGTGCCGCCCAGGTGAAATGAAACTGTTTTAACCATTAAAGTGCATTTATTAAAGAAAAGCTAAACTGAGACACACCTTTGCTATAACGTCAAGCAAACAAATAATTGTTTTTAAGTGTTAATCTTGTTAAATTTCTAAGAACTGCAACAGAGAGTTCTCCTGTGCGTGATCGCTTCACTCAGCTGGTGCAGGCGGAGGAATGTTGGAGAGCTAGCGGCTCCGGCGCGATGGATGGATGGTGCCGGCCAGGTGAAATCAAGCTGTTTTGACCATTAAATAAATGCATAATAAACGCGATGGGTCAGTAGTGACACATAATAAATGCGACTTATACGCCGACGTGACTTATATATGTTTTTTTCCTCTTCATGATGCTTTTTTTGACCGATCCGACTTACTCTCCAGAGCGACTTATACACCGGAAAATACGGTAATATTAAAACTAGAAAGCATAGTTTCCTCAACTGATAGTAGTACTTAGTTTACATACACACACTCATTTGTACATTTTTGTGTTACCGTAGCAACAAATAGAATAGCATCTAATTGAATTGCATTGTATGTGTTTAGCTTTAACTATGACCCTTTTTTAACCCACACTGTGTTAATACGACTTAAATTAGAAAGTGACAAAAGCGTTTCCATTAACCCCTGTTAGGTATGTGGTTTCATGCCTCTAAAATGCCTGTTTATTAAAAATAAGATGTAATCTTTGTGCTACTAAATAAAACATTTGAAGTGCCTCTCATGATGACTGTATTAGTGCTCGCTCTGGATTTTCAGTTTCATCGTGTTCTTAAAGCCCGCACACTCTCAGCCTCCTTAAGGAGAGATATCCATGGTTACCACAACTCTTACCAACAAGAGGCGACTGTATAATTTAAGCAGCAGCATTAAGGTGCAGTAAGTCAGTCTCTGCTCTTTGCTCATTTTAAAAAACAGCATTTTAATGAGCTTATCTGAGGAACGTCGTTGAGTTCTTGTTTGAGAAATCCCTTTATCCTTGAAAGCAAATAAAAGCAGAAGCTCCAGAGTTTTAATTAGCCTGTGAGGTTGTTGGGTAACATGTGTGGGCATATGAGACGTATCGTCACTAAGTGGCCGTCACTGCTTACTCCCTTACATTTGTAGCTACAGAAGGCATTTGTTAATGCACTCCAGGCAAGGTGCTCATGTTCTTACTGATGTCAGCTTTACCCTTTAACTGTGTTAGCTCTCCTGCCGTCTGTCTCACTGTCTCCTTCTTTACTCCGGAGCACTCTCAGATATGAAATGTTGCGTTTGTGTGACATACTGTAGGTCTGAGCTAAAAAGCGTTGCAGTGTTTGGATTGTGAGCTGTTATAATTAAGATATGTATTAATCACAATGCTAAAAAAAAAATCAATGCAGCTAATTATCAAGCCTTTAAAATCAGTTTAATTTCTGCTAAACTCATGTCATCCCACACCTGGTTCAGTAGACCATCTGTCCATTTGATTTTCATGCTGTCAAGTATTGATATCAAATTGCCTGATGTAAATGTTCAACCGCATTTAAAAGCAAAACTTAGAGGTGCATGAGGCCATTTTTACTCCCCAAATAAGATTATATCCCCATCAAACCACTTAAACAGAAGGATTAGGATTTCAAAGAAGCCGGCATATTGTGTTCAGCACAAAGCTAAATTGGATAATGTGCTGTGTTTGTGAGGTAAGTGAGACTAATATGATATAAATGTAATCAATTTAGATAACTGACAGAGACAATGAAAACTGAAAATGAATTAAATGACATTACATGACTATTTACCTTTGTTGTGACAGGATTTTGAAGAGCAGATCCAGAACAGGGACTACTGATTGGCTAATTGGTATTCAGGCATTGAATCAACAATGGGTATGTTAGTGAAAATTAAATATATATATATATAAATAAATGATTTGCCTTCCACTTCTTATTTATATTATTCCACATTATTGCATCACTCAGCCCTCTGTGAATAGCACATGGCCACCAAGGCACTGACGATCAGTCGTTAGGCTGATGATCCTCCTTTTACATGTGAACAAATAGTTTTGGCTGTCACCAGAAAACTGGTTGATCCACTATGAGAAGGTGCTGCTTATAAGACTGAGTTTGTTGCAGCTCCTTCGACTGAAGAAGTCTTTCGGATAAAAGTAAAAAACCCGTCCAGAGGACCTGACTCAACCTTGTTAGCTTTATTTACCTGAATTATTGAGGATGCATCAGGATACTATTAATCACTTTCAAAGCTGCGATGAATTTTTGTCCTGTCCAGGGTGTCCCCCACCTCTCGCACAGTGACTGCTGGGTGTGGGCACTAGTGACCCCCCATGACCCGAAAAGGAAGAAGCGGGCAAAAGATAATAGATGGATGAATAGAATTTTTAATTGAAAAATATCATTATATGTTGATGATAGATGGATTTAGGCCTAGTCTTCACTAATTTGGGGACGTTTTTCCCTCCATTTATATTCTTATCATCATCTGCACTTTAAAGCAAAAACACGGACATGCCCATGCTCCACCACTAGGTGGCGAGAAAGTTCAGGTGAACGAAATATCAAAATACAGAGAAAGAGAGTGCTTAGCTTGGCAAAACATTTCTTTAAACAAGTGCAGCTCATTTTTCTTTTTTTGCATTTTTTTTCAAGGGCACAAAGCGACTGAGATAATTTTAGCAGTCTGTGATATTATTTAGGCAACAGTAGTTGTATTTTTTAAATATAGTCAGTAGGTTTACATTTTAATGTTTAATGTATATTTGCAGAAGGTTATCATGTGGTCAGACCCATATCTAGTCCCAACTTTAAAAGCATCACTCTAATGTCACTGTTTATATTCAGGACAGCAGTAAATAAGCCAGATTTTCACCAGCTGAGAAATTATACAACCTGGTGTGCTCTGTGTTGAATGTCTGTGTTATTTACAAAAGTAGCAGCTGTATTCTCACATAACACCAAAGTGCTGCGGTTACAATGCTAAACATTCACCTAAAATGTACAGGAGTAAACACGTGTGTGTGTGTCTGAGCTTTACCTTGATAGGAGAGATATGCGTGTGCGGCGTGTAGCCATGAATGGCCTCCATGGCAGCGAGGTTCTTGTCACTCATATGAAGCATCTCTGCACTTTTCCCTGGAGCCAGATGAGCTGGACTGTGCTCCAAGGGGGGTGTCTCCTCATCCTGGTACCTGTACTTCTGCAAACACAAGCACAGGGTTTCTCAACGAGACTGCCCGTCATGTTGCCACATATATGGAAGTAAAGGAGCTGTTTCCAAAGCTGTGACCAGAACAGCTTGAAATCATCACATAAACTACACTTTAAACTAGGGATGCACAATATTATCGGCTTGGTGTTGGTATCGGCCGATATTAGCGTTAAAGTTCAATATCGGACATTCCATCAAAATAACTCACCAATATAAAAGGTGCTGTTTTTGTATGACAACCCAATGCCAAGGATGCCTGTTGTGCTGGCGTCACCTGATCTGATCACGGCGGAGAGGAAGAAGTCAAAATGTCGGCGGTGTGGAAGTTTAACTTTTCGTTGGTGAGGATGTCGGATTATGAAGATTTTTGGACTACGTTGAGCCTCGCTACATCGTCCCCAGTCGGAGATATTTTTCCGACGTAACCATACCAGAGTTACAAGCCGTCGTTTCCGACGTCATTAAGAAGCTAACAGCCGATAGCACTTGGGGTACCACAGACATCTGGACGTCAAGTGTTAGCCCCGTTAGCATGATTAGTCTTACGGAACAATGGCTAGACAAAAACTTTGAACTTAAAAAGTCTGTCCTTCGTGCACAAGAGTGCAGAGGATCCCACACTGCAGCTATAGGAACCTGGAACAAGCCTCCACAAGTGAGACAACATCGCAGGTGACTAATGCTAATAAATAATATTTAACACTTTTCATTTAATATAAGTTAAAGTGCTATGAATGTAGCCGTTACTGAATATATGTCACCAGCTCTTACAGCTGTTGCACAATTTTTGTAGCAAATAAGCTTAAATAAGAGAAATATGTTCTGACAAAGGAAAGTATATAAAATATTGGTATTGGTTATCGGTCAAATATCTTTTAACATATCCGCATATTGTATATCGACCAAAAATCCAATATTGTGCATACTTTAAACCCAGTTTGGGCTACTTTTCAAGGTTTCAACTAACCAAAGAACACAGGTCTTTATTTATGTCTCTATCATATTTCGCTGGATATGCAATATGAAAAATATGGTGGGTGCTGGACTTTACCCTGCTCCATAAGTACATCCTGTACTTCACATAACGAGTGACGCCTACAAGTGAAAAAGCCGAGACGTCATGGAAACAAAGGCCCCTCAAACGTTGTCATTTTGCATTGTAAAGTTCTCATCCCCCACAGCCACATGGAGCATTTAGAAATGCGATTTGTAGTGGTTCTGATGGAGCAGATCATGCTGCTTCTTCCTAGTAGCCTCACTCCCCTGCCAGTCCCCCCCCACACCTGGGCGAAGCGCCAGCAGCCCACTGTTTGAGCCACACACGGCAGGCGTCATTCTAGGCGTGATGACACAAAATCTGCACACAGCATTTTCCATCACAAACACAGGAGAAGGTGGGCAGCTTCACAGTGGAGATCTGCACACCCCCACACACAATCCTGTGTCTTACAGCGTGTGCTTTCTACAAATCTGCACCCCCTCCTCCCCTCAACGCCTCCCATCCTCGCCGTGCACTGCTGTGCTGCACTGCAGATGTGAGGCAACCCATTTTCACAACTCAGACATTTGGATGAATCCTTCAAATTTTAACTGGTGGCTCCTCCTTTACCCCCCTCTCTTTTGTTGATCTTTTTTTTTTTTTTTTGGGTGGGGGGTTGGCATTACCAAGCCCACCCCTGTCTCACACAGGCTGCCATAGCAACCGGAGCAGAGCAAAGATTGCAGTGCCCACATTTGGGGCTGGCAGCATCGGTTCTGGATTGCATTACACCCAGACAGCAAAAAAAAGACGGAGCGAAACAGATAAAGACAGAGGAGAAAGCTGGGGGAGGGGGTGGATGAGCACATTGGTGAAGTAAAGCATCAATAAAAGGGAAACAGAAAGCAGAACGAGCGCAGATGAATAATTGCTGTTCCTAAAGGATAACGAGGAGGAAATGATCATTTTTTGTCTTTAAGAAGCCCCACACAATCAGTTCCTGCTGTTTAATGTTAACACAGAACAAACCAAACTACTCGTGCTGTTTAATTTTCATTAACATTTTATGGACATTTATTTCAGACAGTGTAGTTTTCTCACGTCTCTTAGGTGGTGCTGCTTTTTCCTCACATTTACGGTAACTCATTTTACACAACAGCTTTTCTACAGGTTACAGCATGGCAGCTTCTGTAGCATTTATGGAAACTCATATTAGACATTTAAAGTAATTAATTTCAGGGAGTGCAGCTTTTCTCGCATTTACAGCACCGTATTTTGTACAAGTCGCACCGCCATATAAGTTGCATCAGTCCTAATATGTTGAATAAAGTGGAAAATACATAAATATGTCGCTTTGCCGTATAAGTCACATCTATTATGCGTCACCGTTGACAACCTGGAAATGTGGGCCGGTGTGCCAAAAATCGTTTTGGCTGCCAAATGGCGGCCGCAGGAGCGTGCACGGGAGGACTTCAACAAGAATTTCACAAGCTTAACACTTAAAAACAATTATTTGTTTGCTCAAAATTATAGCAAAGGTGTGTCTCAGTATAACTTTTGCTTAATAAATGCACTTTAATGGTCAAATTGTCTGTATTTTCAAAAGCCGATACGCGGAAGCAAGAGCGTGCAGAGGGACGACTCGCTTTATTTGAAGTTTAACAAGATAACCACCTAAAAACCATTATTTGTTTGTTCGACTTTATAGTAAAGGTGTCTCAGTTGAATTTTTACTTATTAAATGCACTTTGACGGTCAAATCAGCTGCATTTTCAAAGTATTCGCTGCCTCGGTGCTCCAGGAGCGCGCAGAGGGAGGAAATCAGGAAGGAGAAAAATGGCTGAAAATGGTAGTGTTTAATAGTTTCAATGTCAGAATGAACGGTAATATCTCACCCAAAAATTGGTTTATAAATATGGGAAATAATCTATAAATAAGTCGCTTCAGCGTATAAGTCGCAGGGCATGCAAGTTATGTAAAAAAAACGTGACTTTTAGGCCGAAAAATACTGTAATTCCCACGTCTGGCTCAGGGTTTCTCTCTGCTTCTCCACCAGCCCACCGAGAAGACTATGATGAATTAAGAAATCTAGCATGGCTGTCGTTAAAAGAGGAATCAAATTTTTATATTCTGAAAGTTGGCAAGAAAAAATAATTTAAGTGACTCAATGAATTTAAATTGAAGACCACTGAACTGCAGCGTAGCATCTGTGTTGAAGGGATCTCATGACTACTTGCTCATGTTGGTCAACGTTTAAGTTTGTGACACGTGAAAACTCCTAATTACTTAAAATATATTTGTTTATTACATTTCTGACCCAAGGAAGTTGCCATTATTTTACCAACACAATGCATTCTAGGGTGATGACGCACATGGGTTGTATTCGTGAGTGAATTCCAGAGTTAGACGTTTACTCAAAACTGTGTATTTTCCAGCTATTTTGAAGTACATTTTACTAATTTCCTAGGATTAAACAAAAATCATAAAATCAGCATATTATATATTTACTGAAAAGTGGATAATGAGCACTAACTGACCTTTCAGCTTTAAGCTTCATCTAAAATATTTTTTAAGTCCACTTTGCATCTCCATAACTTTGCGATATTTTGTGTTGTCAGAAAAATTCCAAGGGTTTCTGAAAGCTGAAAATTTCATTTTAGAGGCAACACCCCGACTAAAGCCCACAAAACAACCCCTCTGTACCCCTCCTCTCACACAGACATGACATGAACAGGTGAGCCCAGCCAGCTCTTGTCAAATGCGAGACATTTGGGTGTCCCGCCCCTCTTTAAGTCCCGCCCCTCCTCATGTCCTGCCCCTCTTTATGTCCCACCCCTCTTTATGTGAGACGCAGGAAGAGGGGGCAACCCGTCTACATCATTTGCAACATTAATAAAATGGCAAGATCCATATACTGGAGTCCCTCGCTACTTTGTGATTCGTTTTTCGTGGACTCGCTCTATTGCGGTTTTTCAAAATAAGATTGGACATGACACACGTTTGGCTGATTGATGGATGAGCCGCACGATCGGCATGGAATTTTTATTTATAATGCATTTTTCAAAATTATTGAGCACCTGTGTGCAACTTCCCAAGCTGCAGGAGAAGCTTCTTCGTGCAGCATGTCAGATCTCCACTCTGCAGCGGAGAAGTGGGCGTGGCCAAGAGCGCTGGCAGGTGGCAGAGTGCAGCAGGAGGCAGAGAGCTAAGATCATGATATGCTGTGCTCTTTTAGAGCATTTAGAGTTTAGAAACATTATTTAGAATATTGCAAGAGTGTGGGAAGGGTTTAAAACGCATTTATACACACACATATATGTATATATATATATACTAAAATAAAATACTACTTACTACTTGTACTACTATTCCTACTTCGCAGTAGGAATAGTAGGGGACTACTATATTAGTGATTTAAAAAATTATATAAAAAAACTAAAGAGGGCGGCACGGTGGCTCAGTTGGTTGAGATGTTGCCTCTCATGGAGAAGGTCCGTGGTTCAAATCCCGTCTGGAGACCTTTCTGCGTGGAGTTTGCATGTTCTTTTCGTGCATGTGTGGGTTTTCTCAGGATACTCCAGTTTCATCTCACAGACCAAAAACATGCGTTAGGCTGATTGGTAACTCTAAATTGTCCCTGGTGTGAGTGAGAGAGTGAATGGTTGTTTGTCTCGTTTGTCTCTATGTGTCTCTGTGATGGACTGGAGACCTGTCCAGGGTGTACCCTGCCTCTTGCACAATGATAGCTGGATGTGGGCACTAGCGATACCCATGACCCAAAAAGAAAGAAGCGGGTAAAGATGATGGATGGATAAAAAACAGAGCCTACAGAATTTTTCGGTTTTGTTTTTTAGGTGAAGTAAATGTTAATCAAATAAGATCTGCTGTTCCAACAAGTTGGAGATCCCTTTAAAAAACAAAGAAACACCAAAATAAAACCTGGTGAGACACTGTAGTAAATGACATGAATCACTGCTCAAAGCAGCCATGAGCTCTTTAGTGTCCACTG